AATTTTGTTCCGGAAAAAAAACAGATACTTCAATCGTGAGTAAAAAATACCAATGAACAAGATGTTTTGTAGACACGTTAGATTAAATATATCTTACTTAAAAACAAAAATTCGGGTGTTTAAAATTAGGTACATTTTGCATCCAAACAAGCAGAATTTGAATCTGCATAAAAAAGCACGTGAAAACTATAGATAATAAAAATAACTCATAAAATTGGTTTTAAATAGGCGACGTAATCACACCCATCACATAGGCACTAAAATTACAGACGAGTTGAGAACCCAATCCACCTACAACTTACTTCATAATAAGTACAGCACTTGAATATATTTATACATTACTCTGTATTTATATAAGGTTAGTACTTTTTCAACCGACTTCAAAAAAAGTGGAGGTCCTCAAATCGGTTAAATTTTTTTATGTTTATTTCTTTAGAACTCATGTATAAAACGAATTAAAAAATTATTATATTACATGATAATGGAGATTTTTATAAGTAAAAGAGTATTTAAAATATATTAAGAATTTTTAAATTTAACCATTATAGTACAAACCGAAAGATAGTTCTTCTTTATAATATTACTTTAGTTATATCGATTTAGGTATATTGCACAATTTTACATAACACAGTAATATGGGATAGTGCTTCTTATTAATATAGCATTCCCATTTCTAGGAAACAAGTAATACCACCTTGAAATAACTAGGTCACAGAGTATGTCATTCCATTATTGTAATTAACAATAAGTATTTGTACCGCATACATCTGTGGTCAATATAGCCATAAAAATTCTACTAACTTGATGATTAAAAGTGTAATAGGCAATTTTATGACTTACAGCATGCTCGTATCTGTTGCAAACTTAAAATATATATTTTAAGTAATAAGCTCTTTTCAGACAAAAACTTCTCTTTCTTCGTGTTTTAAATAGCTATATAAAAACGTTTGAATTGTATTTAAACCGTTGTCAGCGACTTTGTCACTACCAATAACATAAAAATATCTCCTTATCCTAAATTAATATTAAGTAATGCATCTCGCAGTAACACGTGAATTTATCTTATTTTGTTTTTATTTTTGTATGTTTTAATGACTACTATTTTTATTGCAAATAAATTAATATGTAAATTTTACAAATAAATTACTAATAACAATACAGAAAAATACGTAAAAAACATATATTTGTTGACCATATATTATATATCCCAAATTTAACTGAAATAACAACGTTTACAAAGGGATAAAATTACCAAAAAGGGCTTGAAAAGGCGGATCCAATTTCGAAATTAATTATATTTTTATAAAAGTCATATTGATGAATCGATGATCAAAATATACTTTTTTAATAAAAAATATTTGCTTACTAATCAATCTACAGCCAAGTAAGACAAGTTTCACGATACCGACGCTTTGTTGGTCTAGAACCGTTAAATCACCAAGAGATAAACAAACTTACTATTAAATTTTATTAGTAAAGAATATAGACTGCTCCTGAAATGGATGATAATAAGTAGGGTTGATATGCAAATGCAATGCAGTTTAACGTTGCATTATGCACTCCACGAGAACGTTACCGTTACCAAAACGAACAGAATTCAGCAATGAGAATTTGAACAAGTAATGCGATTATTATTTATAAACATAAAAAAAAAATTCACCTTAAGCGTTAAGCGGGACGGAGGAGAATAAATGAAAGAGCAAATCAAGAGAAAGTTTGAATTACTTAAGCTTTTGTTACAATATAGAGTATCATACATCTTCCAAACTTTTCATTGTACAAAATTTATATTATATATATACAGATATTAAAAGAGAAATGAAACAGAAAGCATTTAAATGTTTTTGAAATAATTTCTATCTAGACATAGGAATTAATCTGAGATTTAGATTCGTACTATATTCTTATATTCTAACAATTTACGCATTGAATGTACCGTATTTTATTATTATATGAATGTTTTCTGCATAAATCTATATTATAAATAGAAGGAGAATCTAACTAACATAGTTAATTAAAAAAATATTCATTACATTACCACATTAGTTTATAAACTACGCTACAAATTCTCAATATAACTTTGTACCTAGTATTACAATGATACACGTAAGAAAACTTTATATTGAAGAGCTGGGCGATTGTTTTTAGAACTTAATCGCTGTTTTAGCGTCCTGTAGCAAAATCAGTCTTTAATCGCGACAAAATTTGTATGAGACGATCGCTGGTGGCATATTTATTGTAGAAAAAATATCAAGACCCGTTCTGAATTATTGAAGTTTTCGCGCAACGTAAACAGAAAAAGTGTAATCGAATTTAGAAAGTGTTCGTTTTTAAAGTCGCTTCAAAATCGATAATTTCATTACCCTGTAATGACATTATCAATTTTTAAACGACTACTTCGGTACCTACCTGTGCTAACAAAATTTGACAGTGTCAATTCCAAGTGTAAACATTTCACTTAATAATTTCACCGTTTCCTTACATTTAAACGCCATTGAGATTAAGCACGCGATGGATGCCATAGCATCCCATGAGGGGGAGACTCATTCCCCTCGTTAAGGAAGTACACTGGTTCCCTAAACTACAAGGTGACCTAGTATGCTTTTTGGGTCACGCACTATTATAGGGCAGTGTGATGTGAGCGTGCGTAACGTCACTATTATTTATCGATTCATTTATAATTACTAAGTGGGTTGACCGGATAGCTAAAGTTTCATGTTACACATACTTCGACAAAAGTTTCTACGATATTTTAGAAGGAACTTTACAGCCATATAGCTATACTCTTGCAACCGGAACAGATTCATGCATAAATACACTAGCTTATCTAACAATAATTGCTATTACAGCTCTTGTTATGAAAATAAATATTAAATGACAATATATAATAAAGATCAAACAGCAGCTAGGTAGAGGCATAGAACATGCAGCTAACACAGCGGAACTCGTAATCGAGATAAGGAGGCAGAAGTGCCATTACTCCTACGCTTGCAACCGATTACCTAGTTAACATATGTACACTGTAATAAATACCACTACCGATCCGGTCCCAAGTATTTGCTTGAGGCTCTAGTTCATCCATTCCCTGAGCGTCCAATATCATTTCAAGTGGTACAAAGTCACTCATTTCCATTACTTCTCCTTTTCAACTTACTTCAAAAAGAAGGAAATTCTTAATTCGGTTGTAGTTTTATATTTATTACCTCATAACCACGTCAGTTGTAAACCGTTTTGAATTTTTTTTTCGAAAAGAATATGCGTACAAATTGATGACACAGAAATGTTATCGAAAACGCCTCAGTATTTCAGTTATTATATCAAAAATATGAAAAATCCTTCCAAGAAATATTTCTTCTGTATACTTTGCTATTTTTTATATTAAACTTATATTTGTTTACTATGGTACCTGTTTGTACAATATCGTAGTTTGTGAAAGTGAGTTTGTTTGTCTTTTGCTTATTGCGGGCTTAATAGTTCAACCTATCATTATAAAATTTGGTATACGCGTATTATATGAGATAGAGAAAGACATAGGTTACTTTTTATCCCGGTCAGTGAAGATATTCCGGCCACGGAGACGAAGTCATAAATATAAGCAATTATTTATTTATTCACAATTTGTGTATGTTTGTTCCGTTTACATTATTTTTACCGGTACCTTTCCTGCACTAGATTACCCGCCAATTAGTTACTTTCTTTCTTACTACACTGGCTTGGATGGAAGAAATCTCTTTCAGAGATAAGCCCACCCTTGCTAACAAGTTGTTAATCGCTATATTGTTTTCAGCAAGTTATCATCATTTTAGCAGCAAAAAGTATGTACCTAATAAATTCAATCTCATAATATTTAATTACTTTTCTTTTTAGCAAGGCAGTACTATCGACCGTTAGATTAATTACATCTGTTAACGACGTTTTCTGCCAGAGAAGTATCAATCGTAAATTAATTTTATTTAAATTCCAATCTACATCTTTAAATTATTTGATTTATATTCAATTAAGTTTGAAATATATAATCATTATTAACTAAGTGTTAGAGGCATATAATTATTTTGTGTCAATAACAAACGCAATAGTTGATGCAACACATTCTATCGATACTTGAGCTTCTTTTATGGTGGCACACTCGCATAGTTCTCACGGCAGGCCCTAAAGGTTGATCTGAACATTGTGTATGCTGGAATTCCAAACTACAGTATTATTTTACAATTATAGATTTCTCAACTCCTTGTTCAGAAAAATTTATTCTGGCACTAACTTGTAATTGCGATTTTATTTGTGTTTAACAGTAAACTGAACCACGAAAATAGATTTTAAGTGACTTAAAAAAAAAACAGATTATCAATACGTCACTGTTTATTTTATGTATATATATACTCATTTTTACTCTACCATACCATACATAGTCATTTTGTTCCAGTTAAAGCCAGTTTGAAATAGTATTTTTTATGCAACATAGAATAGTAAACAAGTTGACGGCTCACCTGATGGAAAGTGCTAACCATCGTCTATAGACGTGAACAGTACCATGGGCACAACAATGTATACTGTGTCGCCTATGACACCCTTCATGCGTTGCCATTCTTGAGGACTGTTGTGTTATGGCTTTGTGCCCTGTAATTATTTTGCTATAATCCATCCTTCAAACCGAAATACAACAACGCAAATAGAAAATCTTTAAGGCAAAAACACGAATGAACAGAGGTACCCGAACAGGTGACTTTGATACAGTGTCCCTCTGGTGTTAAAGTATTTTAAGTTTTATTTAATCTAGTATAACACAAACGCTATTTCTAAATTCAACTTCTAAGATTACCATGATTTATCTAGTTATACTATTATATTACCAACACGTAAGTAATCTGCGACATCTCATACGTATGAGAAATAAAAACGTTTGACTCGTTATCTATGGTTATAAATAACCAGTGCGTGCGACAGCTCCAATGGTGTCAAGTTAATTTACAACATAATTATAAGTAACTATCATAAATACTTACCTATTTTTGTTTTTATATCTAAACATTGTGATATGTGTGGGAACTGGAGGATCTTCCGCCACTTTTTGCTTTTGCCCTTGTTGCTATCGGAACCGCCTGGAAAAAAAAAACATTATTACTGAGGAGTGTTTCTAGAGAGAGGGATGACTATAGAATGTTAACCCCTCCTGCGCTAACGGTACGCTAGCGGGGTACCCGTGAGGGATGATAGTTGAGAGTAAAAATGCAGGTCAATTAGTATGTCGTGATGAATACACCAGGAATTCAGCACGATAGTTTCCAGGGAGTACCAAGTGAAGGTCAACCTGATAGAATATATTGCTAGCAATGGAAATGGTACTTCGCGTTACTAACAATTCCTACCTCCAGTGGGAAGTGTTATTGAGTGTAAAACAATAATTTTGAACAGGTAAAAAAATAATTTTGAAATATAAACCTCACGTCAACTGGAAAATACTTATTTATTTATTTAAAGGAACACCAACAGCTTTTGCATTATAACATATATAACAAACATTAAATATAATACAATATTAATGCACATGCCTATTATAGGTATTCACAGCATTTAGTTTAACATAGTTATACAGTGCGAAAAAATGAAGTAACAATTACAATGAATTAAATAACACTAGACTACAAATATTTTAAAAGTTGCGTTATTAGTTATAGAAATAGACATATAACCTAAGTCGTGAGCAATATTATTATCATAAAGTTTTAATATCATAGATTTTTTTATACAACTTAGAGCAAACAAGCTGACGGCCCACCTGATGGAAAGTGGTAACCGTCGCCTATAGACATGAGCAGTACCATGGACATAACAGAATATACTGTTTCGCCCATGATACCTCCCATGCGTTGCCATTCCTGAGGACTCAGATGTTATTCCTCTGTACCCAGTAAATTCACGCCATATCTCACCCTTCAAACCGAAACACAGCCATGCAAACACAACTGCTTTTTTTAAATTATTTAAAATCTCACATGAAATCAGATTACAACTACAATTTTTTTTTTAAATACGCCTTACGTATCCAATTATAGTCTCCTACTTCAGTAGGATCTAAAACACGTTTGAAAAATTCTTTATGTTCACATAAAGAATTTTTAAAACGTGAATTAAATTTGTAATCACCAATCCCGGAAACGGACCAACCCTAAAAAAACCTAATACCCTCGAATTTCACTTAAAATCATGACTTCAAACTTGTCACTAGCGGTTTCTTAATAGATGAAAATGGAATCGTTATATTGCCTACCCTATTTGTTTACGTATCGGAGATACCATTAAGTATTGATATAATTAGTTCAGTAGGCCCAATACAACGAATTCACCAGATTTCCATGAAGAACGGCATTGACCTGTCAGGATATATTGCTAGTAATAGGGTGCAAGATTCCTTTACAAACAATTTTAGGATCTGTGGAGACAAATGAGTTTTATCTACAGATGACAAAAAATCACGTTGTATTCGCCACTGGACGGAGACCTGGGTTCACTTGTGTTTGTGTATTAAATTTTGAGTGAAGCCGTCTTTCGCTTGCGTCATGCTTCGTCTTCATTCTATCATTCTTATCATATTCATGGATATACATATTTAAACGTGTGCTGCGTACGACGTGACAAGATGCACGGTCAAACGCAATATAAAGCGATCCTTTATGTTATAGGTGACTCAAGACGGTTATATATGACGGTATATGGGGGAGACCTATATTCAAGAATAGACTATGAAAAGCTGAAATGATGATAATAATATTTCAATAGAATTCATAAAAAAGAAATGTCAAGCTAACAAAAGCAAGTCATAGAATGGTATGCGAAAAGCATTCTTGTTCTTAAGAAAAGGGTCAGTTTTTATACTAAAAATGTTTATTATTATTACATATCTAATTATTGCAGATAGAAAATCATTATAATTGATGTTAGAGACTTGACTTGGAAGCAAGTCATCCATACTATTGACGTATTTAAGATTGTTTTCCAGATGGGGCCTGGCATCTTAAAAAATGGTGCATTATGTACTTTTAGTATCTTGGCTAAAAGCTCCGCTCGAAGCACCAGATTATTCTGGAGTGAGCACGCCCCTCCCCCTCTCCCACTTAAATATGGCTATGACCCATACCCAATACATAATTCCATAATCATAATGACATTAAAAAGGATCAGTTTATTAACGATCGCATTTCAAAATTGGAATATCAACTCGTCAAACTTTATACTCATAGCCAGTTGCGCAACGAATAACGGGGGTACTTTAGTGTTTTACTAAATGAATATTGATGTTGCAATACTAACTGTAAACGTAATACTCGCGATGATTTATACAGCTAATATAATTTCAATGTTAACCCGTTACGTGCTCGTTACCGCAGTAAGCACCTATATTACACGTCTACTGCATTTAGAACAATTAATCTAAATATATATATATATATATATATATATATATATATATATATATATAAAGAAACTGGCCGACAGAATATAAATAAATGCAGATTGAAATAGAGAAATCGTTCTACAGACAGCATCGCACAACCAAAACTACCGGAACTAGATGTAGTGGAAGTCTGCACAGTAGTAAAAGATTTTTGACAATGCACATGGAAAAAGATGATAATGAGTATACGTCATAACACTATACAGAACTATAGAGCAGAACTAGATACTAATGAAGAAGAATGAATGGAGATATCGGTAGGGGCCGCCCTAGATGGACGTATGTCGACCAAATAGACGACGTGCTGAAGAAGGGCCAAATTAAAAGTACCCGTAACCGGCGAGCGTATATGAAAAGATTGATAAATGTGGAAGAAGCGAAAGAGGTTTGTTTGAATCGAAGCATTTGGCGTTCCATTGTTTCTGCCTACCCTAATGGGAGACAGGCGTGACTGATATGTATGTATGTATGTAAGATACTAATCTGTAATAACGGATCATTGGAAATAGTTAATTTTGTATATGTTAATTTTTTTTTATGCAACTAATTACAGAAAGAAAGCTAACTATCCACCTATGAAAAGTTTCAACTGTCGCCTATAGACATGAACAGTAACCATGGACATAATAGAGTAACCTGTGTGGGCGACACGATGATATCCTTCAATATTCTATTGGAATTCTGTAAATAGCACACAATATTTGTACTTAAATTTTATTTATTGAAATCTTTTGAATGACTTTAACAAATTAAAAAATCTCTAACGAACAAAAAGTACAATAATCATTTATTTATTAAAGGTTATACAAGTAGTATACTCTAAAATTGGAAAACGAATCCCGCTGAGGTAAACAATGTATACAGCTTCATTAGACTATGTTAGATTAAAAAAATAAACATTTGTACAACAGCAGGCAATTAACGAAACAGACTAATGTACGCTCAAATCCATTTCAATTTAATAGCATATTACATCAAAACGCCATAAATGACTTCGCTTAATTGGATTTCAATAATAAATGGAATCAAATTTATGTGCTGATTATTACTAGTTACTTTAACGGCAGGCCAAAACTTTATTAATTATCATGTTAGAGGTCTAACATGTTAGAAGTAACACGATCTTGTTTGGCGCTAACTAATTTATTTGAAAACAAGCTCTGACCGAGACTTACTCAATCCGTTTATTGTAGTTTACTTACTTAAGGTTGACAAAAGTCATAAGACCGCAGTTGTGATTATAATGTGGCTGTATTAGAATATTCAAAAAGATTACAAAATAAGATTATAAGTAAGATTTTTTATTATATACGCAACATGAACTTGTGTAAATCTCAGTTTTTATTTTGATCCATACAATACTCAAGAAAAGTCAACAGGCAAAAGAAATACTCTATAGCAATTTTGAGAGCCAAATAGTAAAATTTATGTCGTAATATGTTCTAGACAAATACATAAGAGGGGAAGAAATTAAGTAAATAGATAGATAACTGATCTTTAAAGACAACTAGTATTGGCTGAATGAGTGGTTATAAAAAATTAAAAACCATTAAACTAATTAAAAAAAGAATTAGATTCTAAATTCAACAATATTTTTCGTTTGTATCTTCGCTAATTAAGAACCAATTTTAGCAATCAGTAAGATAAACAATGTATTTAGACAAACACGACCTATTTCCTTAACCTATAACCTTTTCATGCCTATGTTTATAATACACAATAGCAGGAAAACAATGGGAAGCGGAAATATTAATATAGGGAAATACCTGGACAATGCCAATATTGATGTAACCACAGCCTACCTAGCTGTGGCTACATATTATAATCAATAGAATAATTTATCTCGAGCTGCCAGATACAGAACGTGGTAAACCAATGAATGGAAGGTATTTTTATTTTAATAGGAGCATAATGAAACGTTAATCCAGTCAGCGCTATTGGTATACGATGACGGAGTACCAGAACTCCCTGGTAATAGATGAGGATGAACTTATGAACTCAGGTCAGATGGTCCATTGTGGTAAGTTAACAACGATGGTACCAAAAACACCACATGAAGGTCGACCAGACAGGACATACTGCTAGCAATAAAGACTAACCTCCGTATTATTAACAATACCTTCTCCCGGAGTGATATCGTATCTATCTTAATATTAAAGATTCACTGGTTAGATTCGAATATTCTAGATATTTTATAAAGAGACGTTGATATAGCAATACTCCTTTAGAAGACCATAAAATATTTCGTTAAAACATTATTATAAAATGTGCAAATAAACAGCATTCGAAATTTCCCACCAATGCTTCTTTACATATAACCTTTGCGTATAATAAAATCATACTGAAGCAAAACAGCACTTTGTGTCAGCCTTTCACGTAAAAACGTGATTCCAATTGTTTTTGCGTCATCCTTCTAATTTGTAATTGGTAATAACTGTTTTTGATCTGTGGTTTATTTTTTGCTTTCATTGTAGAATAATAATAAAAGTATAAGTTCCAGTATAAAAGTGTATAACTGTATATTCCATATGTAAAAGTGTAAAGTGCTAGTATAATTTGTCAAGTATATTTAATCCACTTTTGTTAAGCCATTCTCCATTGCAATAAATACCCAGTGAGGCCTTCTAAATTCTAAAATATATTTCT